TATAGTATATATATAATATGTCAAGTCTTTAATAATAATAAATATGTCTCTGTTTTCTTTGTCATTAACACATAAAATAAAATAAATGTTTGTCCGTTTTTTAATATTACATGAAAGGTATATAATTGTGTAAATTCCGTTGGTGAACTTGAAAATGTACCATCCATACAAATATAAGAAAAGTACATTTCACTCAATTCCATCAATTTAGTTTTGTTTGCAAAAATAAAGTATTTTTCTTTTTTAACAAATAAGTAATTCTCATCTTCTTGTATTTCTTTTGCAATTTGGTCAATGGCTTTGTGTTTTTCGTATGAATATTCTTTTTTGATTGTATCAATCTTTCTATTGTCGTTATTATGTTCTAAATATATTTGGACCACAAAATCGTTTCGTTTAAAAAGGTTTTCCTTTTTGTGTGCCATTTCCAAAAGTACCGAACGAGATGTTTTGTTTTCTCTTGATTTTGGGTGATGAATGTGTTTGGTTTCAATTGATTCAAATTCAAAATCTTCATATTTCAAAGTTTTTCCGAACCTACACTTTTCTTTATAATAATTTTAACAGGGCAATTTTTAAAAGTGCATTTATTTTTTTTTCTATCGGAATTTGAAAAATGAAAAACGAATCCGTCAACAAATGGAAGTGGTAGATATTCACCATTTTTTGTTGGCTTTTGACTCATTTCTTGAGATAAAACGTGTTCAGAAGAATTCGACATAATTTTAGGGTAAATTATTATGAATAAATAGTTTAAAAATTAACAAATAAAAACTTAATTGTTAATTTAGTAAAAGATTTTTCGAATTTATTTGTTGTTATGTTACATTTTAAGTAGTATACAGTAACATGAAAAACCTGTCGCGTTTGGAAAAACCTGTCGCGAAGATTATTATCGTAAAAAATATAATAAAAAAACTAGAAATGTACTAAGATTAAACCCGAATAAAATATTTGATTTTCATCCTTTTTTCGGATGATTAAAATCCGTTTCAATTGATTTTCTTCAATAATAATTTTTTACAATTCCATTAAAAATGAAATAAGGTGAGTGGAACTAAAAAGAAGGTTTAAATATGAAGACCTTCCAACTCCTAGGGTTCCTATAACAGCTATTAAAGTCTGTGAACTGCGAAAAAAACAGACTCATCAAACAAACGATCCAAACATCGACGACGAAGTACAATTGTTGTTAAACTGCGAAGTCCACGAACAAATCAACCAAGAAAGTCTGTCTAAAATACGTTTGTATTTGAAGCCCGAACCCCCCAAACCCAAATCTACAAGAGGAAGGAAAAAAGGCAGTAAGAACAAGACTCCTGAAGAAAAATTAATATTAGAAAAGAAACCAAAAAACCCAAGAGGTCGACCCCGAAAAGCAAATTAACTCATTTTTTGTTATTCCCTTTTGTTATTCCCTTTTGTTTTATATTTTTGTTATATATAACATAATAATAACATTTTGATGAAAAATACCAATTAATTTATTCGTTTTTTTCAAGACAGGTTTTTTCGAACGAGACACCTTTTTGTTATGACTGTATAGATAAGAATTTCTTATAGTAAAATAATATAATGTCTATTTTGTACAAAGTTAATAATAATATATGTTATAATAAATTATTATTTATTAATTAATATCTATATAATATATAAAATAATATTTTTAAATAAAAAGAATATTATTTGTGTTAACTTTGTTATCATTAAATATTAAATATTGTTATTTTAGTTATTATTTTTTCTTTAATTGAATTTAATAAAATATTCGAAAATTAAATAGAATTTTCAATATGTATTAAAAATAAATAATAATTATCTATGCATTCACAAGATAATATTTACAACTATTTTAATGTGTTATATATTTTATTAAATGTAATTATGTAACTATTATTAAATATTGTTTAAACATTTTCGATTTATTATTAAAATACAAACATATTAATTAATAGCTATATGTTTATTATAAATGTAATTATAATTTATTGTAGCAGTTTTTATTATTTATAATAATGTGTATATTTTTATATATGAACTTTTGATGAAAACATATTGAAGTTTTGTGGAAACGAGTATATTTTGAAGAATATAAAACGAAAAATATTATTTACTTGAATATTTTTTGAACTCACAGTGAAATTGATTGTTTTATTACTAATGAAAGACAGTGCACATCACTTATTTGTAAAAATGAAACATTTAATGAAAAAAATGGGATGTGTGTTTTAGCAAAAGAAGATTGTGTTTTTATTGTAAACAACAAATGTTTGGAATGTGATAATAATTATAATCTTAACAACTCTGATATGTGTGTAAATGTTTCAAATGACACAACTTTAACTAAATGTATTATGTATAACAAACATAGCTATATTTCATGTGACATTGGGTATTACTTGTTATTTGCAAAATGTCATCCATGTTCTGAAAATTGCACAAGTTGTATTGAAAGTGATACAAAATGTCTGTTATGTAAATATAGGTTTTATATGGGAGAAAATTGTAAGTGTATACCAAGGACCGGGCTATTGGGAAAATGCGACAAAATATCCCAAATTACTGGCGGGTGTTATCAATGCAAAGATGGGTATTACAGAGTTGGGATGGATTGTGTTGAATGTCTTTCTAATTGCTCAACATGTAACACAAAAGACGCGTGTTTGACTTGTAATTTAACAAATTACAAAACAACGAGTGGAAAGTGTTTGCCACAAAACAGTATTATTGGGTGTGCTGTTGAAGTCACACAAAATGGGTGTAACAAATGTTTGCGTGGATATCACACTATTAATGACAAAGATTGTAAAAAATGTAACAACAATTGTACAACGTGTACACAACATGAGAAATGCACTTCTTGTGTTGATAATAGAGTTTTGTTTGAAAGTGGACTTTGTCTTGATATCTCATTTGTATCAAACTGTATTGAAGTATTAAACTCAAAATGTTCCAAATGTACGTTTTGGCACTCTCCCAATATAACCGGAACGTTGTGTAACAAGAAAATAGTTTGGTGGGTACTTCTTGTTATAATTTTGTTTACAATTATAATGATGATATTTTTAATATTATTAATTATATTTACAGTGAAATGCATTGAAAATAAAGTACATCAAAAACAGCTTGCAAAAACAACAACAAGTTTTAAAATGAGTCATTCGAACATTTCTTTTGTTCAACTGAGTAAGGATGTTGTTGTCAATAAAACTGATTTTATTTGGTTGTTCTGATGATCCAGTCAAAGTTGGCGCTGAAAGTCGTGAATTGATATGTGTTGGCAACTCGTCAAAGCAACATTTGAAAATCCAATTTTCGACTATAATTTATACTGCAAAATACACAATCAAAACAGAACCCAAAGTTGTATCTTTATCACAGGGAATGGCAGTCGAATTTGAAATATTTGTTGAACCAAAATGTTCATGTAAAATTGATGATAAAATTGTGCTTTTCTCAAAAGGATTAAAAGATGGAATTACAAACAACAACCAATTAACTTTGAGTATTTTTACTGAGATGTCAACACGTCTTGACCCCGATGAGTTAATTGAAGAGAAGAAACTGGGCGAGGGGTCTTTTGGTATTGTGTACAAAGGATCTTTTAGAGGAAATTGTGTAGCTATTAAAAAGATGAAGGAATTAAAAGAAGATTTTGATGAAATAATTGACTTTACCAAAGAAGTTGAAATGCTTGACAAATTTCGAAGTGAATATATCGTCCATTTTTATGGAGCTGTGTTTATACCAAATAAGGTGTGTATGGTCACCGAATTTGCACAATATGGAAGTTTACAAGATTTGATGAAACACAAAACATCTGACGAAGTTGACATGATTCTTCGAATTAAAATGATGTTGGACGCATCAAGAGGGATTTTGTATTTACATGAAAACGGCATTTTACATCGAGACATCAAACCAGACAATTTACTTGTGTTTTCATTAAATTTAAATGATAAAGTTAATGCAAAGTTGACTGACTTTGGAAGTGCAAGAAATGTCAATATGTTGATGACTAACATGACATTCACCAAAGGTATTGGTACACCAACATACATTGCGCCTGAGGTGTTGAACAAAGAAAAATATATGAAATATGCAGACGTCTCTTCGTTTGGCATAACAATATATGAGGTGTTTGGGTGGTGTGAAGCGATTCCAATTACCACATTCAAATTTCCATGGAAAATAGCCGAGTTTGTGACTGCTGGAAAACGACTTGAAAGAAGAGAAAACATTCCAAAAACATTATATCAACTAATACAAATGTGTTGGAAACAAAACTTAAAAGAAAGAGAAACAATTAATAATATCGTTGAATGTATTCAAAAAGTAATAATGTGGTATAAAACCAAATGAATTGAATTGAGTGTTTAATACAGCAGCTAGATATTACTAAATTGAAACATTTTTATATTTTAATTAACATTATAAAAAAGAATCAGTTGAACAATTATTTATATAAAAATGAATTGTGTAATGATAATAAAATGCAATAAAAATATCTACAGCATTTAATCTAATCATTTTTTTTCACTTTTATTGGTGTATTCCTCTTGCTAAAACATATTTACAAATTCAAAGAAAATAACAAAAAATTGAGTTTGTCTTTTTTAAGCCTTTTAAGTTACAAATTAAACAATAAGATGTATCTGACTGGTTCAATTCATTTTATGTTAAACAAAAAAGACTTTGCAACATAATCAAGAACCACTGACTTATTTTGCTGAGTATTCGATAATTAAACAACGTACAAATTAAGTTACAATTTTAAATATCTTTTTTATTTGATTTGTTTAATTTATGAATCTCAATGGTTTTGTTTTTGTGTGGTTCATTTGTTAATGTTTTTCTTCGTTTGTAAATTTTCTTTTTTAATTTGAGAAAATGCAATTAAGTTATAAAACGAAGACTTGTTATTGATGTACTTTGACTGTTGCTTTTTAAATGAGTAATATTAAATGATATTTGGGTGAGAAATATAATGTTTTTACATTGTTATGATATAACAAATATTTTTGCTTCTTATTTTAAATTGTTTAAAAATGTCTGAGTAAATATAGAGCAGCACCACAAAATTTTAGATGTGTATATTAATAGTTATTAAAATCATTTAAATATTATTTTTGAAGAACATGTGTTTGTTATTACATACTAAATAAGATTTTACTTGGTTTGATCTCTTTCGTCTTGATCTTGTTATTTTATATGTTTTGATAAATAATAAATTAATTTAATTGCTTAGTTGGAAAACACGATGCTTTTTGGTGTTA